CAGGATACACCCTGAACAGGTCGCCAGTCCATCGCAGGGCAGACAGACAGACATACACATTCACACACACCTAGGGGCAATTCAGCAAGTCCAATTGGCCTGGCTGCATGTTTTTTGGACTGTGGGAGGAAACCGGAGTACCCAGAAGAAAGCCACGCAGAGAACATGCAAACTCCACACAGAAAGGACCCTGGCTGCCCGGCCAGGAATCAAACCCAGGCCCTTCTTGCTGTGAGGCGACAGCGCTACCCACTGCGCCACCGTGCCGCCCACTAATTTAACATCATATAAAAAATTTAAAGGTTAAAGAGATATGTTTTAAAATGTTTCTTAAGAGCTTGACTGTCTAATAGAAGGTTGAATTGAGTGCCATAGTTTAGAAGCATTATAACTGAGCGAGGCCTCTCCATGTTTTCAGTATTTTACAGAAGGTATCTGCAGATCTAAGATCACGTGCTGGAACATAAACAGACAGACATTCTGTGATGTAAGCGGTGCTTTAAGGTTGTTTAGAGCCTTAAAAACTAGTAGCAAAACTTTAAAATCTATCTTGAAAGATAGAACTGCCAGTGCAGTTCTTTCAAAATGAAAAAATGAATCTCTCTTGTTTTGTTATTGTTAGGATGTGTACTGCCACAATAACTAGTAAGAGATGTTTGAATAAATTAAAACAATAAGTAAATTAACATGGGCTGTGGTTTCATAAATTTCATTGTGTTATATAATTGATTATATAAAGCAGAGGTTAGAGAACCTTTACATTTGCTCTAAGCTTTGACCATCTTTTCACAAAAGTCCTCCATCTATAGTTTTAGAAAGAAGTGTGATTTTTTTTACTGCATAAATCTTCTTAATTATTGACCATTCCTGTTGAGTTGGGTAGAAAATACCAACGTTTGTTACTTACCGCAGTGGTTGACTTGCACAATTGCTGTTAGGGGGTCTTTCACTAATTTTAATTTTAGGATATCTTCTGTGGAAACATATACTGACTGCCAGTAGTGCCCTTTTAGTAAGACAAGGGCTTTAGCAAAATACATAAGAATGTGAAGCTGTGCTTTCTCCACACTCTCTCCAGCATTTGACTGTCTGGTTTAGATTTATATTCACCATAATCTGTGGAGCTCCAAACAATCTGCTATTGAAAGTCATTCCAAGCCTCAGAAAAGATCTCACTCCAGTCTTCATCACTAATTTGTTGTTGTAAGTCCTTTTTCCAGTTTTCTTTTAACAGGTTGTGGCCTTGGTCTTCCAGCTGAGTGACCTTGTTGAACCTTAATTAAGTACTCCTTAACAGGAGATGTGGATTCTTTTAATTTACTCCAATTAGGATACTTAGAGAGAAAATCTCCTATCTGACAATATCTATAAAAGTCTTATAACTCTCTATGAATCTGTTCAAAGAACTTTAGACTGTTATCAGCAAATAACTGATGGACAAAGTGAAGGTTATTTTGTGGTCATCATCTCCTTTCAGTGAGGTCAAGCCTACAATACGTGTTAATGTGGACAGACCAGAAAGTCTGCTTGGAAGGTTTTTTGGACTTATGCCCATGCTTTGTATGTTACCCAGGATCACCACATATCTTTTTATCTGTTCTCAGAATGGAAATGCTGGCAATGGTGTTTGTCCCCGTTATCTTTGTCTACATTTAGCCACCTGACACCTGTGGTATTTTGTATCCATACGGTCAGTACACACTACAGATGCTAATCAGTAGCATTTAAAACAGGGAAATCGCATTCCTCGGTGGTTTTGACGATTGTAGTACTTTAAAAGCACTCTCTTGGTCTTCTGCCACATAAATCTACTCAATTATAATTCTGGCAATAACCTGAATATGTAATATAATTGAATTGCATATGTGCAGTTGTAAGAAGCCAATTTAAAGCCAGTGTTTGATGTAGTTCAATGCCCCATGAAAGCAAATGGAAGGTATTTTCTGCACTTTATCTTGCTTTAGAAGCCTCAAAAACACACAGCAGCAGCATTTTAAAACTAATGAAGATACATAAACACATTTTCGCATTTTCATTGGGCTGTTTGTAGTTCTTCCTTGCCTCCATGCTCTCCTCCCCCACACCAAAGACAAGCATCACCAGCAGCTACTGTACACACAATGACAAAACAACTGCATTATGTAGTGCTGACCCACTTTATGTAAACAAAGCCCCCCAGTGTGCGTCTTTCACAACAGGCAGCATATAGCAGACTGTCTGATCACCCTAACTGTCTTCAGGTTTGGGTGAATGGGTGTGAATGAGCACTATTTTACACTTTTCAAAAGAACCACTTTTATTGTACCCTTTATTGGATGTTTTTTAAAGGGGTAGTCCCATCATATCTGTGGCATACGGTTGCTTGCCACAGACAATAATGTATACATTTACCCCTGTACTTAGTCAAAGAACAAAATCCTGTTGATTCAAATCACACTGCCCATTGGATTCTGTTATGTGTTTTGAGTCAGTGAGTTTTGGTTCTTTTACTAAGTGCAGAGAAAATAGTCCAAATTTTGTTCCTGTAAAAGACTATCCAATGAAAAATTCCTTGAATGACATAGGAGAACCAAAGTTGGTTCTCCAATGCCATTGCTCCAACGAGCCTTTTGGCACATTTATTTTTGAGGGGATACATGATCCTCTCACTCCAGCCCACCAGGTGAAAATCATTTTCCTAAGTTTGCAAAAGAACTGTGCCTCACTATGCAAGTATGTCATTGAAACCAGATGTACAGGATATGTTCTGTATTTAGAGTGACTGGAGACACAGAAGAAATGCAGCAGTTTTTCTCTGAGTAAATGAACTAGTTTAACACCACATTGTACATCACTTTCACATCTTGATGGGAATTGTAGTTCCAAAGCAAATGGTGAAGTTATTAGAAAAACAATTATAAAATAGGTCTATACCTATTTGAAGGAATTGTCATGAATTGTTAAGAAATGTTAAAATGGTAGGTCAGTTCAAGCTGAAAGTAAGACCTGTGGTTGTCTGAGATTAACTGTGTTTTCCATTAGCCTGTGTTAGCCTGAGTTAATTGCTGATATGGGAGTTCCTCTGCTCTCCACACTAAAGTCTCTGGAGGCCCCACTGCATAGTGAACTGGTTTTGAACCTTAAATCTTGCTTGAGACATGTGGCCACTCTGCAGCGCCACCAAATGGGGATACTGCACATTGCATAAAACACATAAGATCATGACATAAGATATGCATGCTTCTTTTTCAAAATCAGCTAAACAGTTAATGCCATTATTACTAATAGGGATGAGCAGGTTGATACTGATACATTAGATCCTGAAGCTTTCTTTAAAAAAGGCATCTTTGCATAAAAATACTGATACCAAGTGTTTTACCTAACCCAAAAATATGTTTGTCATTAATAGTAATTAGGCCATTTAACATTGTAATCTCTTGAAACACCTGTCACAATTTTACATGAATTAATATCCATATACAGACTTAGACTGGACAATTTGATTACGTCAACACTTTTAAAAGATTTAGAACTATATACAACATATTCTCCCATCAATATGAAGAATTGGTCTTTGATGCAAAGAACGCTTTAAGCATGCAAATCGTTGTTTTGAGTGTTCATGGTTCTATATAGAACCATTGTGTCTACTAAAGAACCTTTGAAGAACCATCTTTTTAAGACTATAATCAGACACTCTGATATCTACTATGCTAAGCTGGTTAAAATTATCGAGAAAAGCTGAAAGTAGATCCCAAAAAGTATCGATTTCTTGATTCCAGACTTTTGGGAAATCAGAGTCGACCCCAAAGTTTGGATTCCACACAGTGACATATATGAATAACCAGCATACCTCAGCATTAATTCCCTACTGGTCTAAGCTGGTTTGGTGCAAGTTTAGCTGGTCACCCAGCATCATCATGATATGGACCAGCATACTAGCATCCAGAAGACAACTTATGCTTTTGCTGGTGTATGCTGTTTTTTCTAGCAGGGTCCACAACTCACACATCAATAGTCCAGCTGTATTTCACTTTAGATCAACTGGAAAACAAAGTTAAATGTAACATTAGTGACAAAAAATGGCTTACAAACATTGCCAGTGTCAAAACATCTACCGACCTTAAGGAATTGACAGAGAAGAATCAGGTACAACCTAGCAAGCCAGCATTAGTCAGCTTAGTTAATTTCGCCAGTTTTAGCTCAACAAATTTTCTTGCTAAAGTCAAATAAAATTAATACTGTACAGCCTGTTTTTTTGCCATAAGTACTTGTCTAGGTCTTTTCTGGAATCAAAAGTATTGTGTGGAATTGACTCTTGGAATTAACTCCATTGATTCCCATCACTTGGACCTTGAATCCAAAATTTGGAGTCAGCTCTAAAATTGCTGGAATTGAACAGCCCTTTCAGTTGCATTCTGATTAACTGTCTTCTGAATGCACACACTTCCCTGCACTGGGTAATCTGTGTCACGGAAAACAATCTTTTGCAAGCACCAAAAAAGTGAATTTCATAGCATAACATGTTTAAAAGTTTTCTTTGAAGGAATTACAAGCTAGTAAATGAGATATCTCTGTGTGTATGGTGGTGTATACCACTTTGTTTCCAGGGGGTATGTTTTTGCTGTTGCCCTATTTTAAAAGTCACCTACAACTGCACATCACACAAAAATAACAGTTTATGGTGGGTTATATTGTGTATCAGTAAAACAGCCCTTTCCTGTCGAAATAGGCGGTTCTTGGCCATGTCAAGTGACAAAATGCACTAGACTCTCACATGAAAGTTAAGACTAATGCAAAGACTTATATTTTTATTTTTATAAAGACTTAAGACTAATGTTTTTATGAAGATCTGCATTTATCAATTGTCATTGCAGAAATGAAAACATTTTCCCTTTTTTGTGCAAACAAATACTTTTTGTATCGGTATGAGAATCAGGACATCAGGATACTAGCCTTTGTATTACTCTCCTATTTCTGCAGGAATTTACTATGGTTATATAATTAAACAGACACTTGCACACGCTTCCAGACTTTAATCACAAAGCACTGGCCAGTTTATGGGGCCAGACCAATGGCAATAAGATACAGGAGGCAGCAGGAAGACACATACACATTCACACTATTCATTTAAATAAGAGGATGATCCAGGCCTCATAATATACACACATAGCACTCATCTCTTTACAGTCACTTCTTTGAGTTTTAGATCTGATATTTAGTTATTGTACATACAATTATTGTGGACACAAAGTAACAGAAGCACAATTCCCAAAGATGCACCACAAACACACACCAATACATTACAAACCTGCATATAACACTGAAAAATAGCATAATAGCCAATATTACCCAGATTTGTGTAAGAGACTGACTGGTTTCTTAACTTTTCATTCACTCTGCTTTTTAAAATATTCTTTCCAAAGTTCTTTTTAGAAATGGTTCCTTCCAGCCATGTTTCATTAAATTAAACAAACAAACAGACGTTTTCTATAAATCCTGATAACACTCATTTTGACTTCAACATAGTTTTGATGCAATTTCTCCATCAGACACATTGCACAATACATATTCCAACATATTTACATCTCATTCAAAGGAATACTTCACTTCAACGCTAAAAATGAGTATGTGGCTGACAGTGAAAGAAAGCAAATGGGGACCAGTTAGCATGATTTCATTTGCATAATGCTAACTAACCAGAGGTGAGTAGAGTAGCCTAAACTCTTACTCAAGTAAAAGTATTGTTCCTTCGATGAAATAATGACTCAAGTAGAAGGAAAAGTCACAAAAAAGAACTAGAGTAGGGTTAAAAAGGTCAAAGTGTACTGAGAACCACAGTGAAACTTTTTAGCATTAGCACATCTAGCTTGCTAGGTGCTATTTTTCTCCTTTTGGGGCCTTTTTGGTCTTAAATGAAATGCTAACGCTCTGAAGTGACAGGGGTGAGCAACAGAAAAGTAGTCCAAGCGCTGAACCAACACAACAGAATAAAATTAAATTAAGAAAAAGGAATGTGAATTCTTCTTAAGTGCGAATGGCTAAATTACCCCCGAGGAACTGAATATAAAGCAGATTACTTTCTTCACAAATACTTAAGTAGCTGTACAAGTATTATCATTTGAAAATACTCACAGAAGAATCAAAATTCAGTACATTCAAGTACATGTTAACTAATGACTACCCACCTCTGTAATCCAACAGCTTTCATTCATCGTTAGCCGCATTAGCATTTTCAGCTTGTTTGGCAATACAAATGATCCTAGACTGAGGACAAAAAATGAACATTGTGTGGTTTAAATTACATTTCTGACTTTAAACATTAAGCACCACGAAATAGCTAAGGTTATACTTCCATCAGCCATGGAAGGAAGAATAAAACAGGAGAGCTGCACATGTCCTCTAGCCTGAATTGGCGGTATTAACTATGCAAAAGCGTGCTGTGAGTATTCCTTAAGTGACAGCTCAATATAGAACACTTTGACATTATCTATTGTGTAAACATAGAAACACTGCACAGCATCTTCAGTACAAGTAACACTGCAGGTGACTTGACACGGTGATACAAGTCCACACTGGGCATTCCACTCAGACGCCTTTGACAAAGTGAGTAGCTTAGGGCACAGACAGAAAGACTCCTCAGTTCTCCCGTAATCCCTGCTAAATTCCCTCTGCATCTCCTCTGGATCAAATCGCACACAACTCGTAAGTACTGTAAACAGATTTTAGCTCATAGCTGACACATACAGCCAGCCACACAGCACCTAAGATGTTCCAGGCCTTTTTGTGTCCACACTTTTCAACGTCCTCTTGATCAGAGGAAAGGCAGTAGAGAGAGAGGGAGAGGAGAAGAGGGAGGGAGGGAGGTTGATGTTGGGTTCTACGACTCAAACGAAGGATGAGGGCTCTCTCCGTGAGAAGGGCTCCCTTTGTTCGGACGGCTGGCAAAAAGAGAAGAAAATATAAAGCGAAAAGAAGAAACAAATGTTGGGGGGAAGAATGAAGTATTAAAATAGCCTACAAGCATTTTTGTTATAACTTAACAGCAGTATGTAACATTTACAATCATAAATAAGCCATTATTCATTTAAGGCATTCATATTATTGTAAGTTTAACATTTCAAGTAGTGAAGCAATGTTAGCAAGTCAAAAGGTATATTGTCGATTTCAGGACAAAACCTTGTATCTCCATTTCTTTTTTTTTGATTGTTTGTTAACATAATTTGGAAACACCAGCTGCCTTTCACATTGTATGAACATTTAAACATGAATAAACCAATAGAAATGTTCCAAAAGTACTTGAATAAAGCCTTTTCAAGCTTTACTTTAAGTTACATTAAAAGTTAACCATTTCTGAAGATAGAAGGTTTTGCTCCGACAGCAACAATATGTACTTTTTGCACATTTATAGACTACATTACTGTATATGCTCGGTCTTTACCATATACAGAAGTAGTATAAACAAGTAAAGTCATTCCAAAGAAAAAAGCCAAGGAACAATACAATGTTTTCCTGAAAGACAGTATTATTGCTCAAATATAGATCATGAAGTAATGTTTCAATGGAAACTCTTCATGTCGTCCAAACTATCCCAAGTAGTTTGTCCAAGCTTCACAAGCTCCATCTTACCAAGCCTGAAGAGGTGCATAGTTGGGAAAAATAAGTAATCTTATTTTGGCAAGTTTCTGTGGTGGTGAGTAATCTTACTTTGGCAACGAAAAAATTAATAAAGCACTTAAAAGAGCTTGAATTAAACCAGAGATGGTTAAGCTGTCCTCGAATCAAGCAATTCTCTTCAACCATCTGGCTTATTCCTCTTTCTAGAGTAATAATGACATGTGGTGCCTTAACTTGAGAACAATATATCAGAGTAGAGGGGATAATGGCTAATGGCTACATGCTAGTGTGAGAACGGAGCAGATTTTAATCCCAGGGAAGTGGCAGTAAGTCAAAGAGAGAGTGTTTAGCAGGGGGCTTTTGTTTGGTGCAAGCAGCATGCAGGTCAGTCTTGGGAGAGGAGGAAGAGACGCAGCAGGGGGCCAGAGGTCACTGAGGGTTACTATATATTACTTATATTACTAAAGACCTCTGTACAGCCAAGCCAAGGCCATTTAGCATTGTGTGCATTTATATTACCATAAAACATTTAGAATGTAGCCTGGAATTGCAGAACACTCAAAATACTGGTACGTTTGTCATGTTCATTGTGAAATATAAAGAGCTTATGCTGGTAATGAAGTAAAGTGGCACTGATAACTGTACTATGTTGTTTGTGAATACAATGTCCATGACACTGCACTTTATATATCATTAGCATTGTTGTCGTCTCCTTTGTGTGTGATTGTTCAAAGGAAGTGTGCCTTCAAGTAAACACGTGCATCTAAAGACGTTGCATCCTTGGGGTTTGCAACCAGGGATGTGCTTGTAAATGTGCGCGCATGTAAGAGAAAGGTGCAGAGGAGGCAGCAGTTATCCTCTGACTGCAGATCCAGGGTTAGTGCTCTGTAATGGAATCTGTGGATCTGGTGGGTCTTGAGGGTGAGGCTGGTGCTCGCCGACTTCAAAGTTGATGACAACAGACAGACAAATGCAGAAAGACAGAAAGGACAAGACACACAATCAACACCAAAACAAACAAAACTGGCAATGAACACACAGACATACAGTTCTAATGAACACTCAACGCTCACTGAAAATGAATCTATTCATGAAAACAATGACAAGGACCAAAATCTTGAACGCTTTATATGCTATAAAGCCAATGACTACGATTTAATGTAAAAATCCCTATTTCTTACCTCCTTAAAATCTCATTTTTTATTAATAATATATATATACATTTATAGAGATGGCACTGATCCAAAGCCTAGTATCGGTACTGGATCAATACCAGTAGGCCTGTCATGATCATGAAATTTAAGCTGATGATTAATTGCCGCATAAATAATTGAGATTAACAATTTAATTGTCTGTTTTTGTTTGAATGTATTAAATTAGAGGCTCAAAGTGGCCAGATTAGCTGATTACTTTGCTTCCTATCTTCGGTACTTAGTAGCTCTCAACTGAAGCTTGAGCATCAAGCTCAAATAAACAAACATTACTCACCACTGCCCTCTAAAGGTGTTATGGCACCAAGTCAAAAGTTAGAACTTTTGCTGTTTTCAGAGTTTTCATAAGACTCACGACGTGTCTCTATGCATTTCTTGCTTTCTTATATTTAATGTATTTGCCTCAGCCTAATTAATGACAATGCACCTGTTTGTTGTGACATAATAATATTGTGAAAGATAACCACAGAAAATAACTGCATTCAGCTTTAATGATTGTGACTACCTCCAATAATTGCAATTAGCTGATTATGTAATAATTGTAAGACACCTAGTCACCAGTAGAAAATGCTGGACACTAGACGAATCAATCTGATCCACTTCTGTAATAAATATAGTCTGAAATGTCACAGAATCTTTGCTGTACAACAGAACTGTTTGTAGCACAACAAATAGCAGGGCTTGCCTTGTCACTCAAACAGGTAACAGCAGGGTTCTTTTTTCCCCAACTTTCACACTGGGCATGTGGACTGAAAATCTACTGTCTTGAACACAGTTTATACTGTAACAAACCAATTTTTGTTTTAAAAAACATTTTTCCTCAAGCCTTTTTTGCATGCATAAGCACTATAGACCTCTGAAGTTGTGCATCGTTCTGCAGTAGTGTTAGCTCACTTGTAGCATAATTCCTACTAAAACCAACTGATTAAACAAGTGGAATCAGATGTGCTTCTAGCTGGAATGAAAACCTTGTGGATAAAACTGGTGATCCCTGACAGAATGTAAGCCAATGTAAAATACATCACATAACAACAGCAGTAGTAACTTGCAGTCATATGAAGCTCAAATAGTTAGATATGTAGCCTATTATACTAGAATTGCAATCTCTAGATTTTTAGTCTAAATCTGCACACATTTTCATTGTAAAAAAAAGAGTTGCTGTATTGTGCATGTGATGTTATTGGCTACATATTTCATCATATGGCAGCAGAGAATTGTTTCAACAGTCTGATCATAGTCTTTTATTTTACGTGAAGCGCTTTACCTAAAAATCACTCATTCCAAAGTTTAGCAGTTTTTAAATAATAAAAATGTATTAAAATTGGTATTGGAAAAGAAAAAGTGTTATTGTGCCACCTATATATATTTATGCTGAATTAAAGACAGTAAGCTGTGAGTAATTGTCTTTTAAAGACTAAAAAAGTCCTATTTGTTCAGCACAAGCACAGCACAGTTACCTTAAAAAATGCATGTTTGTGCCTTACAAAAATAATTAGATGTAGTCACGTGAAACAGATTAACCACATGTTGTGGACAGATGAGGAAAGGTTGGCTGATGGTTAAGGTTAAAGATTATTACATGGATAATTTGCAAGTAATTTCCACAATAAGAAAGGGAAAGGTTTTACTGTCTGTATACACCTTCTGTGAAAGGCTCATTAATCTGCCATAGCTACATAGCTACAAACCAAAAATTGGTGGTTAGAGTTAAAGTAATTTTTTCTTCAAAACCATCGCAATCAAAGTGCACAAAGAAACCCCATTAGATGGTAAAGATTAAGTAAGTCCAGGCCATCTTACTCTGTCACCTCTGTTGATAGAACAATAGAAAATGTACTAAAACCTCCACATTTTAACAGTGATGGGCAGTTAAGATAGGAACGAGCGATTAGAGATGAAGCCATGCATAGTGATGATGACGATGATGATGTCACACAGGAACAATATGCATCAGACATACCATTTGCAGACCTCCTCATTGGTCACTGATAGAAATTCTGAAAGAATAACCGGAGTCATTGTGGGAGGGATTTAGTAGGACTGAGAATGGGGAAGGCATGGGCAGAGTGGGCAACAGCAACCAGAGTAATAAATATCATCAGTTTTTACTTCTGTTCGTTTACCTTTCTTTATTCAGTCCCAGCACTCTTTCAGCAAAGTGAACTATAAGAGCATGATCTCACAAAGCTGATGTAGGTATGAGAAATGAAATGTGATATGTGATGAACATCAAATAATGAAAAGCTACGGAGGAGTGAAGCTACAGTGATACAAAAGCATGGAGAATTTCAACCACAGAGTCAAACAACTGATGAAAAACAACTTTAAGAGATGTGTCGGTGATATGGAGTTAGTGTATGTCTTTGAGGAACCTGAGTGAACTGTATATAGAGGGGTATCAGTAGTGAACAATAAGGGAAAAGAGTAGAAAAGGAGTCAGAAGGAAAAAAAAAGTTAGTAACCCTTCCACTGTGAAAGGAATAGGACCAGGGCAGTGAGATTGTAGGGGAAGTGTAAGGAAGGAAGTTTGTAGATCATTGCTCTCTTTATCATACAGGCCTTTCAACACTTCCAAAAAATGCTATGTTCACTTTTCAGTTTGTTACTGTCAGACTTCTTATCCTGATTAGCTTTAATACTGTCATCACAACAGTTACAGTGAAGCATTTTTATTAACAAACAGTTAAATGGCTATAAAACATACTAATTCTTTAAATTATATTATGTATTACATATTAGCATGTAAATTAAGTGCCAAACTGTCAACACGACTGAGAAAAGATGATCCAACTAAAATACTATAAACTTATTGATTTCATCGCTATGTTTTCAACTCAGGCTCACCTGGGTACACCTGGGGGAGCACGGTTGGGGCGGGAGGGCACCTGGGGTGGGGGGCCGCTGAAGGGGTCAGGGGAAGCTCCAGGTCTGGAGGGGACAGGTGGGGCTCCAGCAGCGGGGGGCCCTGGAGCAGTACGACCACCAGGACGAGGAGGTCCAGGTGGGGCCCGGCGCTGAGGTGTAGGGCTGGACATGGGGGACCTGAAAAATAAAAAAGAGACCACTACTTAATGATTATGTGTTTAAAATAGGGCTGGGTATCGACATTCAATACTTACGGAGTACTGAAAAATTCCATGTGAGTACCAAACTTTGTGGTTTGATACCAAATTTGATACCTAAATAGTCAGGCTTGTCCTCTGTGAGCCAATAAGCATGCTTCTTCCAAAATTTAGACTACTAATTGACTGTCTAATGGCGTATTTTTTTCACTGGGCTGTGATCACACATTTTGTCAAAAAAGATTTCTATTCAACATGTTGATAAAATTGCATTTGAGAGACAAAGCCGTAAGGCATTACTTAATGCCAGACCTGCGTCCTGAGGGTCCTCCTTGCACCTGCAGCCAGGAATCATCCACTGGTGGGGGCAGAGCAGTGGAGACAGTGGTGGTGCTGATGTCCCCAATGATGTTGAGGGCCTCTTTGAGTGCGTGATACATACGCAGCATCTCGTCCCTGTGCTGCGCCTGCTCGGCTGACTCTTCCATCAGAGTGTTCTGGTCTCCGCACGAGTAGAGCTGGGCTAGCAGCTCCGCATGGATGAATTCTTTAGTCTTTAGGAGAACGGAGGGGAGACAGCAGGAGACAAAGAATATTTACTTGCGTATTTGTAAAAACACAACAACGGATAATCGCTTTAGAACTGAACCTGTCTAAGTGAAAGGCTAATAAGGAGACAGAAAAAGACAAAGGCTTTAGAAAAGTGTAATGAAGTAACCCCTCTAACTGCAAGGACCTACATGTTGGTCAGGGGTGATTTAATGCGTGGGCTTACTCCCAGGGGCCCGGAGTAATTCAAGGCCTCTGAGTAGCCTTTTTTTAATGAAATTTATCCCCCTCTGCCACCTGGACCTACCCAGATTGATCACAGGCCTACCCAACCAAACAAGGAAAGAATATTTATTAAGCCAATTTTTTACAATAACTTTTTATGAAAACTGACATTTCTCAAGCCTTCAGTTTGTTATCAGCACGCCAGTGTTTGAATTTAAAGCTCCAGTTGAGGTTAGCGAATGTAAATAAGTATGAGTAAAAGCAGGGATGTGGCAAGTAGGGGTGCTGAGGGGGCTGCAGCAACCCCAAATTTCAGGACTGACCCTACCCCTCTATCCAACAAAAATCGGGCCACCCTACCCCTAGGTGTGAATGGGCAAAACAGAGGGGTTGGGCTAAGTGGTAGGGGCAAGGACTGAAATGGGATTAGGCCTAAGATTACTTAAACTCTTTAAAAGTAAGACATGAATGGATTCTAAACATTTTTCAATCCCACCGTGGCAATATATGTTTGAATTTGATGATTATGGTTCAGTTTTTAAGTTTGCTGTGTGCTTTTGGATGTTGTTTGTAAATAGACCAATAGGGCCCATGACCCCCTGTAGCCCCAGGGCCCAGGAGCAGGTTAATGTGCCTCTGATGTTTGTCTTCAATTCCTCACTCTCAAATAGGCCTTGTCATAATTACTCGATTAAACTCAATTAGTTGATTAAGGGGAAAAATATATAAATGTCCCTATGAATCAACAATGATTAAATGTTAGTTTGCATTATGCAAATGCATATTTTGAATGTGCCCACTGGTCTCTCTTACAGTAAAAAACAGAGCAATGTTTTTACACTTAATGAAGCTTTTCTAGTTTATCTAATCAACAAAAAACAAACACTTACATTGTTGATCATGAGGTGCATGATGGTCTTAGGCATGAGATCACGGACAGTCTTGTTGACAATCGCCATATAAGAGTCCACCAGGTTACGGATGGTCTCTACCTGCCTCTCCAGCTGAGGATCCATGGAGTGCATGAAGCTGTCTGAGCCATTCTCCTCACTGGCTTCACTCTGCTGCAGAACACAGCAAGAAAGATAGTACCGTAGATGAAAGAGATAAGACACTTCTCCTAAGACACTTCTCCCGTGCAGATTAGATATACATGGTTTTCTCAGGACAGTGAGGGCTGCATTGTGAAAGCAGCTTAGGATGTACATTACAAAAGGTGAACTGCTTCGGCAGTTCTTTGTTGTACAGTTTTAGCTGGCTAAGCATAAGTATGCTACTGTTAAATGGCACTGGAACTAAAACAAGAATGTGATTTGAGTGACGTCCCCACTTACCTTTTCTTTGTCCTTTTAGTGTGGACAGGTGTCAGTAAAGGAAGGATACATCGAAAAAGAGGAATTAAGATGGGCAAAGCAATGAGATCTTGTTAATTCTTGATGAGATCTAGTAAACAAATAAACTGTAGCATTATAGTCACTGAGGAGACAGCGTAATGTAAATAACAATTCCACTCACTATTGTTTATGGACATTACTAGGTTAGAATTTAATATTCAGAAAAATGGATAAGTGAGGTTGTAGCATACTGTGATGCGTTCTGGATAAACGCCAGCACGCAGGAATGAGGCCTTCCAGCTGTCCACCTCATCTTGTGTCTCACAGGCCAACTCCAACTGCCTGTAGTCCTTATACACGTTCCTAGTGAGCACAAACACAGTGGTCATATAATTGTAGCGCTGAGAAATATTCTTCCTGTATTCTCATACTGAGTGATATCCTGTTCCTATACTAGTGCTGAATGATGAATTCAGTTTTAGCATTACTTAAGAATAGATAACAAGAATTATTAATAACCTTCTATTCCATAATATAGTGATGTCCCTATTGACAAATTAGCTCGTTTTAGTCTTTAAATTCTATTTTGTGCCCTTTAGCAATCGTATCCAGGACCTGACAGTTTACTACAGTGCATGTCACTCGCTGGGCGCTTCAGACTGTTTTAAAACAATAGTTCAAAATACAGAAAAACTAAATAAACAGTACATTTCTTTTCTAGAAATCTGTTTTCTTACTTGTTAATGTTGACTATGTAAGGTTCTCCTTGGTGTAATTTTTTATGGTTTGTAATTTTATGGTTTGTTTCCTTCAATGTAAGGTAGGTTGTTTAATCCAAATTCAAATATCATCTGATAGACTGTGGTATTTTGGGAAAATATTGTGTTGCCGAATGTCAATAACACTGCCCAGCAACTTATTTATAACTTATTTCACCAAATTATTGTATTTACATTATTATTGTACAAGATATATGGTTATGCATGACTTCAATGAATTAAGTCATCCACTGATTAACCTGGAATGCCCTTTCTCCACAAGAACGGGTCTATGTGCAGTTTCTGATAACAAAAAAGAGGCTCTTTAGTCCAGCCTAAGCTTCAGTTCAGAATCAGGCTCAATATGAACTTAAAAATGGACCTGCTGTACTAACCTAGAAGTCACAGTTTTTGTTGTTAGTAAGAAAAGTATGGTGTAATCTAATATGATTTTTTCTCCCTCATAGTTCACTGAGACAAATAGAAGTTATTTTCCAAAAGTGTGGATTCTAACTGTTTAATCAATACCACATTTGTGTAAGTAGTAAGTAAGTTGTGTAAGTTGTGTAAGTAAGTAGAAGTGGAGACATTTTATTAGGATTTGAATATGATGAAAAATTATTCAATGAAAAGTTATTGAGTACAGTCTTTTTTTGCGACTTGCATAACTCACTATGTAATGAAACATTTGACTAGAAACAGGTCCAGCTTTCGAAGTGTAAATATGTAATGATATAACTGCACTGACCTTTGTTCAGTGTTGAATAGAGCAAAGATGTGCTTGCTGGACATGAAGCTTTTCTCAATGTCTCTGAGCCTCAGGTTATCCACAGGCAGCATGTATTTCTTCTCTTTCTCCTGTAGAGGGAAGCAATGAGAGATAGCAGCATGGATCACCAGGCTGAGCTGGAGCTTTTAAATCTCAGGGTCTGTAATTAAGTAGAACAGAGCAGAAATGCTGATCTAAAGTCAGCTTTGCCTCATGTATAATAAGCCTACATCAGCAATTATGAAAGAAACAAACTGCTTCTGAATCAGAACCTATTCTTAGATTGGGGGAAATACTGGGTTCTGGTTTCCAGTGGCACTAAGTCTATTCTTCCAACAACGTATTATTATGCCTGGTTATGATTAAAATTGTTGTTACAATTTGAGAAACCAAAGATGGAAAGAATGTGGCTATTTTCCTGTTATAAGTACAGACAACCGCCTCCTATCAACCCATGTGCAGAACAGAGTGGAATGATTTTCAACCGGTTGTTGTTTTTCCTTTGAATGCACAGATTTGTTGCCTTTTTCTGCTTTGAATACATTTGGTTGTTTATACATTTTCTTCTGAATACCTGCATAAGGAGAGGGAAGGAGAGATGAAATGACTAAACGAAACAGTGAGTAGGAGGGGATGAGAAAGAGTGTAGGAGAGGATGAAACTGCCGTGCACCAACAGTATAAAATATGCATACATCAAAAATGTAGCCTAGATTCAGACCAGAAATATGCTTCATAAACAACCTCAAAAATGGTGCATGCATAATCATGAAGACCAAAGCCACCACTCATCTTACACTATGATGAGCTGTTCTATTACATTGACATCAACCAAGACTCTAAATATCTTATTAAAAAAATGTCTTATATACTCTTAAAAAGTGGAAAAGCAGTTCTAAGGAAAAGCTGTAACTGGTACAGAACCTTTACATTAGGTGGAGGTTTTATTAACCTTAAAAAGCCTCTTTACATTCATATACCTCATTTGAAAAAATCGTTCTTTAAAGTCATGGTTCTCGTAGTGTGCTTTAAAGCCCCTGATGTCCTTGATGTATAGCCAGGGGGTCCACCAATTTATTATGCTGAATACTGAACATTAATTTTTTCAATTTAAAATTATTTAATATAGCACTTGTTACAACGGGTGTCATCAAAAAGCAGCTTCAGAGAAATCTGGGTCCAGCTTCTAGAAGGTGAAAAGCCACACACAACTGGAGAAAAAGCTTGAGCTCTCATTAAATACATACTTTCCTTGAGAAATCAGGACTCAAAAGGGAAAAACTCTGTAAGAATATGAGTAAGAAGCACTGAGAGGAATCTTGATTTAAAAGGAGAAACTCCGTAATTGCATGAGAAAGCTAAACACTAAAAACAGCAAAGACTCAAAAAGACTCAAAATTCCCTAAGAGCAGGAGGAACAACCACTGAAATGAACCAATACACAAACAGATAAACTCTCTAAGAGCAAGAGGAAGTGATACTGAGAGGAACCAAGTCTCAAAAGGGTGACGTATGCTCTTCTGGTTGACTTCAGGTAGCAAAACAATAGGAATAAGACTAAAGAGAATAACGAGTAAAGAAACAAAGGGAGCTTAATCACAGGATTCATTAACATCTAAAAAAAAGGCAGTGTACTTTCACTCCAACTCCAGCTCCATTTTTTTTGGAGCCAATACAGATTTTAAATTACAAAATATGTTTGATATGCTCATCATTCGTTGGTGCTTGAATATTAACCCCCTAAATGGCCGAGGCTCACTGGCTGGCCCAGTGTTTTATTACACCCTTTTATAACCTAAGAATGAACATTACTAGGTTAAGAAATCTCATCCAAATTGCAATAAGGTCTCTGTAGTTACTGAATAATAAGCATAAGTATGTAATAATCCTGGGATTTTAAGGGGTTAAATCAACTAGATGGCAACCATGGACAAATATTTGAAACAGCCAAATAGTCAGACCACCTTATTTACTGAAATGGACAAAGAAGCTAAAGCCAAATCAACTGAATGTCAAAAGTACAATGATTCTATTCTATTGAGAACAGTGATGATAAACCAAAATGTGTCATATGTGTCCAGCAAATGAAGCCACAAAGCCAGCTGAGCTACAGCAATATCTGCTTACAAAACACAGAAGATACCAAAACATTTAACCAAAAAAAAATTAAACACAAAAATAATGAATACACTTTGGAAAAAAACAAAGTTTTGCTACAACCTCAGATAAAGTGCTAAGAAGTTCTCATTTAGTAGTTCAGTGGAATTCTGAAAAGTGAAAAGCCACACGCAATCAGAGAAAACTTGAGAGCTCTCATCAAGTACATATTTGCCTAATGTGCTTAACATTTGAACAGTTGTTGGTGGGGATTTGTACATTACTTTTCACACTGGTAGGGGTCCCTGGATGCAAACCTGAGAACCCTTGCTTTAAAAAAAAAACACACCCTTTGAAAGGATCTTTAGGGAAGCAAAAGTGGCATCACTTTTAAACAAGCCTCGGATAACCCGTAAAACTTTACCAAACCCTCAAACTTCTCGCAGTGCATTATTTCAAGCCCAGCAATACAATAGAACTTCAGTTAAATCTCATACCATCCTGTAACTTAAGAGCATTTTTCTCTTGCACAGTAAGCATCCAATAATAATAGATATGTCTCCAATAATAACAGCGTCTTGGAGAAGATGGCTGGCAGGCCTAGTAGAAAATACTGAACCAGAAGCACAAAGTCTGAGAAAGTGTCTGATTATTCTCATGGTCTGGCTGTGTCTGTGTAAAAAACATAAAGAAATCCATGTAAAGTGGCAATCGGTTAGCATTTCTTTAAAAAAAGCTTATAAAAGCATGGAGTGTTGCACTCAGTCACTGTTCCACTCCACATCCTTTGTTATCATCATGGCTATGGAGCTCACTTCAAGGCCAGGGGCATATTTGCTGTAGTTCAAATGAAGTGAATGCTGTTGAATGAAATGCTGCTCATTTAAATACTCTACTATATCCCTAAAGGGGAAAAAAGAAATATCATAAAGATGGTGGTAAAAACCAATATTAATGTCTTGTAGCTCCACAGTCACTCCAGCTGGAAGATCCTTCTTTACCATTTTTTTACTTAGTCTAGTCAGGGTATTTTGATTAGCTCTGAGGATGTTTCTGCCCGTGACAACAAATTAATTCACTGTTAATGCTTGCCAGGAATGCAGTGTTTTCATAGTAAAAAGATATATTCATCATGTTATGGTGAAATCAACTTATCTTAAGATATTTTCTGTATTACATTACATTTAAAAATGCATACTTGGGATATTCTGTGCATACAGTGCAAAACTGGGTAAATGAATATGCTCATTGACACTGTTTATACTATATTCACAGGTTATTTATCCATCCATCCATCATCTAAACCGCTTATCCTTCTGGGTCATGGTGCAGGTTATTTATATTTGTATAAATATGTAAATTTACTGTAAATTACTGGCTACTGTGTAAAATACAGGGGATTACAGCTACATTACAGTAATCTTGAGGTCCAAGTGACTGAAGTCATAGTAAATAGTGGCTATTTTCCTGTTATTTACCATTAACAGGGTGCAGTAAATTGTAAACTGTGAAAGTAATACAACTAGTAACTGGTAATTTACTGTAATTTTACGGTGAAATTGTTTATAGTGTAGGTATAGGGAGTGGACATTGAAGAAGAGACAGCTAATACATTTATATGTATGCCAATGGTTCAATATTAGTCTAATTAAGACTATTAGACTAATTAAGGCTTATTAATGTAAACAGCACAGGTTGATCTAAACGCTCAGACCTTGAATCCAGTTCCTGGCCCTGAATTTTTAGGCACTGGTAGTTAACTGAACTGCTGATATGACTGATTGGCCATTTAGTGTCGTACCTACCAGTGATTACACAATGCAATTCAGTCTAGTTTCTTAAACTACGAATTAATAGCTGTTGTGTGCTTGTAAACATAGTCCAAATGTGACCAATGTTCTTGAAATTGACCCTGATGTTATTCCTATGTTTATATTCCTAAATGTTTATATTTTTGCTTTTATTACTGGAGGAACGCCAGCCCATGAGTAGGTGGTTTGCACTAAGCTATTACAAAAAGAAGCAAAAATCATTGTCGCTGCATCTCACATTTACTCCACTGTGCATTCTAATGAGCTGAATTTTGATGTACTGGAGTCTCTGTGAAACTCTCCAAACCATAAATGTGCATATATAGGGCTATAATGAGAAGAGGTTGCCCCAAGAAATGCGGTAAAGATGATCAGTGGTTTGTTAAAAGGTGATTTTAACCCTTCATTAAGGCAGATATTCTGTCTTTTAATCCACTCATCTTGTTCAATAATTTAATGATGCACAATTATTTTATTAAGTAAAGAATATGACCAAAAAAGCCAAACATTTGACAAACTAAGTTTTTTTGTGTCATAAACTACCATTTTGAACACCAAACAAATGCATAGGTATAGACTTCACTTTTATAGGTCACCTTTTATTGTCACCAATTATAATATTATCATATTATCATATACAATCATATTATCTGAGAAGACTGTAATACATTACGTTGCTCTTTTGAACACCATTGGGCATAATATACATCAAACCTTCTGCCTTTTTTCAGAAATCGAGTTCAACACTCCATAATGTACAAGTAACATGGCCTGTCTTTACCACATCAACAGCTGCATGGATTATAATTTAGATATTCTGCATTAAATGACCCCGTGCTAATGCCACATTTGCCTGCCTCTCTAACATGACTAAAACTGTCAGTTGCTCTGGATTAGAGCATCTACCAAATGCCACGTATGTAAAAGAAGAACAGTTTTGACTAGCTGTACTTCTTATTACAACAAGCACGGTGCTATATTACAATAAAAGTAACTCATAACAGCTTATTAAGATTTTATGTATATGAATATTGAAATTAGTTTATTAATGGTTAATAATTAGGTTATAGACACCATAAAACAGTAACATGTTGCCTGCCAAATAGTGAGTCTGCATTCTCTATACTGTTCAGATCTTGCTGGTTACTTATCTTACTTTTTCTTCTCCATCAGTCAGCAATA